TTTCGCATTACCAGCGCCGGGAGGGTGCGCGCCTTCCCGGCGCCGGGAGGGTGCGCGCCCTCCCGGGGCCGGGAGGGTGCGCGCCGTCCTGGCGCCGGAACTAGTATTATATTCTTATTACTATTACGACTGCTATCAATATTACTAGTACTTTTACATTCATTTCGTAGCAATAATAGTAAAAGTAAAGAGAATAGGAAAAATGATAATAGTACTGGTAGTGTAATATAACTTTTTATGAATAATATAATAATCGTAATTCCGGCGCCGGGAGGGCACGCGCCATCCCAGTGCCGGAATTATTAGTATCATACTAAGAAATTATATTACTACGCCGAATATTATGATGATTATTATTAGGTTTTTTTCGTTAGTATTTCTGTCATTATTACGTGCCGTAACAGTAATAGTAATAGTCGTAGGAACAGTATGGCAGTTCCGGCGCCGTGAAGGCGCGCGCCAGCCCGGCGCCGGGAGTGCGCCCTCCGCCGGCGCCGGAGCAAATGATTACTAGTATTTCTTTCATTATTATCGTGATTAGTGTTTTTACGATTAATTAGTGTTCCTAGCAGTATTACTATTGCGAACCGGAATGTGCCCTCACCGGCGCCGGGAAGGTGGGCAGAAACCAAATATATATATATATGTATATGAGTATGCTGAGTACAGGTCCAAGGTTTGAAGGTGCGATTTTGTGTTTCGATGTTCGACTTAAAACAAGCAGGGCTTATAAGCACGAGGTATATACGGTTTGGTGTCGATGGTTAAAAGGACGTTTCAGGTGTCTTCTGAGCAACGAGCAGCAGTATCCTACCCCACACAGCAAGGTTGCAACAATCTGCAGACCACTCACGAGATTGAAGAAGGAGGCTGCTTATGAAAGCGGCAATGGGAGACTCCATCCCGGTCGGGCCAAACCTTGGAGCCTGTGCTGAGTCATACATGGAGGCGCGGTGAGGCGATCTGGCAGTTTCATGAACTCGACGAATTGAGGATCGGAGATCTCGGAGGAATGAGGATGATCAGATCGGAGACTGGGAGGAAGGAGGATCGCAGACGGGAGGAGTGAGGATCGGAGTCTGATGGACGAAGGCATTATGCGCGCATGCATGGGCGGGGTCTTTCTTGTTGTAGCTATAGAGGGTGTATATGTATACATATGTATATTATACACATATATAACGCATATAGCTTTGTGGGTCGAGGATCCTGGCGGTGTGTATATAGTTCTTGTTCAAATCTTGCGCGCGAATTGGGCTCGCTTGGCGCGTTCCCGTTTCATGATTTCAACTGGTCGTCCATCCCAGTTAGACCCTAAACCCTATACCCTTAAACCATCATTTTTTTAGATCACGCGCTGTATAACTTGAAGGGGGCATGCAAGTTTGTTGCTTCTAGGGGCTCCAGCTATAGCCGCACTGCTCAGAAGTAGAAGACGGGGTGTAGAATAGCTTTAAGTAAAACATTTTAGAGGAGGGATAACATGCTATTTTTCTTGCGAACTCGCGCATGGCATGCAGCATGTGTGCTGGCACGCTTGTCCGTTAATTTGCTTGCGATCCGTGTCAGTGGTATATAGGGTCAAGCACCCAAGCCAATCCTAACCTCGAAATCTGAATCTCTCAACCCTAGAATCATACTTAATCTCTTTGCGTGTGCCCAAGCACCACAGGACCAGCTGGGCGCCCAACTTGCCGGTACGGAACACAATGCTGCCTGCTCTTGCCTCAGCGATGAGTGCGACATGTCGGTTAGGCCAGGCGAGGTCACTCTCGTCTTCCCAGCCCTAAACCTTAAACCCAGTTTCCACCTCGAAACCAAAAGCTATGGCAATGGCATGTAGCCGGCTTAAGATCAAAGGTCTATATAGTGGACTTCAGAAATCACATGTGCCTCGAACATCCTGAAGAGCCTCTCATCTGCGCAACACTATTTCTGCTCGTAACATCAAATTCAGGACTGTACATGATCCCGAGCGCAATGGGCTTACAAGCGATCTTTGAAGTCAAATCGAATGACAAATGCCAAACAGGGTTTAGAGATTCAAATGAAGTCTCTTTTGTATCAGGAGTTGCATAGCAATCGCATTGGGGTATAACGGAGGGCATGTGGGCAACAAGCAAAGAGACAACCACTTGGTATAAGCCTGGTCCATAACAATTCCAAGTATCGTGATTAAGTGAGCCTGCTTCAGCCGCCATGGCATTGGTGGAGGTAAAGTCGGAGGTGCCTGTGGAGGAACCATCTTCTCTGGCACAGGCCTCGCCAAAGAAGAGGAATGCCAAGCCAAAGAAGCAAGGCTGCAAGCGTCCACCGGCTGTTAGATCCTCGTTTGCAGATGCCAGAACTCCTTTGGATGGTGTGGAGCGCCGCAGTGCCTTGAACCGCATCTACGAGGAGAGAAGGCAGAAGAAGCGCAAAATGAGTCAGGACATCGAGTCCTCAGCCGCTGCCTCTGCGCCAGATTTCCGCCCACTGAAGGATAAACTGAACGACAAGTTTCGAGATGCCGCTCACTTGTTGTTCGACACCCAGACGGTGGTGAAGCAGGAGATGACGCGCTTGGAGCAGCAGGGCCGTGCACTTTGCGTGGATTATGAGGAGCGGCGGGATTTCTTGATTCTGTTGAGGGCACGCCTCCTTGGGCTTCGTCTCGAGGCTTCGGATGATGAGGAAACAAACGATCAGGCACTCGCAGCCTAGCTTCGAGGTAGACTGTTCACGTGGAGTCGCAGCAGTGCTGCTTACTCAAGCGGATGTGAAGAAGATGATGGAGAACACTACCTGCTTCGTTCCTTTGCCAGGGCGGCTTTCTTTTCACACCGGCCGGCTGATGCGCATTATTTCCTGCACTGTTCCAAGAGTGATACTTTTCATTGATGCAGTGGCCATCGGGGAGCCGGTGCTGGGGATGGGGACTGTGTAGAATCGTAGATTGCCAACACAGCACATGACACGACGTGGGGGCAGGCAAAAGCATCGATCTTGCTCTTGTCGCAACTGCTCAGTTTCTTTTGTGGTAGGTCCACAGTCCGGCAGCCCTTCATCTTGACAGACACAGCTCAATTACGTGGGTTGATGGAATGGCATGAATTCACCAGTGTCAAGTGCTTGGGGTTAGAGGTTTGATATGGAAGCTGCAATTGCAGTCTTGGGAGTTGACACCAGTGCTGAGGTCAAGGCTGCTGATGGATAGGTCGCCAACTCAGCAGCTCCTTATGTTCTACAGCAGCCCAGCGAACTCGTTCGAACATTGTGCTGTGCCAGTGAAAATGCATACCAGTCCTGCAACATGTTCGGCCTATTGGACCTTGCGTGCAGGCAGCTGCAGAGCTTGAGTAGGCATTAAGACAGTGAGTGTATGGATATAGGATGAGACTTCAGCCCATTCAAGCTGACAGCAGGTCAACGGTTCGGCCAAGGGAGCACATAACGACATAGCAAACAACGCGCTGACGACATCATGCCTCTCCTGCCATGGGGATGCAAGCGTGCCGCAGCTGCAGCCGTGCAGGAGCCAGCCACACAGCGTGTGCCGCAGGTTCCTGTCCAGAGCTGGGGATGCACGAAGACCCTCGCTGGCAGAAGCTCGGAGGACTGGCCACAACCATAATGAGAATGTCAAAGATTATCATATGCATGATGACAATGCGAGGCAACAGGAGTAATTGCGTTTCCTGTTGTGTACTGCAATTGTTAATTTTGTGGACTAGCAAGTCCACCTCGAAAGACACCCCCGTGAAACCAAGAGGATGGGGCCCTGATGGAGTCCATTTGTAAAGGCACCCCCGTGAAACCAACAGGCTGTGTCCGTCATCGTGAAGAAGGCTGACCCGGCAGTCAAGGAGAAGAGTGCTGCCATGGAGGTGCAGGAGCCAGCCACGGAGTGTGTGCCGAAGGTTACTGGCCAGAGCTGGGGATGCACGAAGTCCCTTGCTGGCAGAGGATCCGAGGACCCGCCAGAGCCATACAGACGATGTTGATTATATTCATATGCGTGATGACAATGCAGGGGTTATTGCGTTTCCTGTTGCGTTGTGCGACTGATACTCTGGACTAGCCGCAAGTCAACCTCCAAAGACACCCCCCCATGAAACCAAGAGGATGTGCCCGGGATGGCGAAGAAGGTTGAGCCGGCAGTGAAGAAGAAGACGAGCACGATGGCCCGGGAGCCTTTGGCAGAGACTTTGTCCCCTCAGTCATACCAGGAGCTCATGAGTCTGTCTGGCTTTCCCGCCGAAGTTGGCAAGCATGGCTTCCTGTTGAACCAGGGCTCCGGTGGATCCATTGTGGAGCTGTGCGCAGGCTCATGTCGCTTGAGTAAGGCTCTGCTGGATGCTCAGGCGCAAGATGGACAATCAAATTTCACAATCGAGTGCTTTGAGTATGCCCGTGCGAAGGAGGAAGACATCGTGCTGCCAGCAAATCGGGCCTCCTTGTTGGAACGCATCCGGAAGCGCGAGATACTTGCGCTATGGTGTGGACCGCCATGCGCGACTTGGAGTCGCGCTCGACGCGGCAAAAAAAAAACTGGCCAAACGAAGCATTGGCCACTCCCCCTGAGAGATGATGACAAGAACATTGAGGGCCTCTTTGGCACCATGACCGCTCGAGAGGCCAGCAGAGTTCGCGAGGCCAATGACTTGGGTAAGTTTCTCGCACAGCTCGCCGCAGAAGCAGCTGAACAAGGCATCATGATGATTCTGGAAAACCCAACAAGGAGCCGCTTTTGGAAGTATGGTCCAGTAGCTCAGCAGCTGAACCTTCGTGGCACAAGTGTACGCATTCTCATTTCTTGTTTCCGTTATTTAAGGGCTTCAACTACGCAGAGGGGCTCAGGTAGGGGCAGTAAGGGTTGTAGCGCCGTCGGAAATGTGTTCCTGCGCGACAAGCTCAGGGGGCGAGCACGTTATGTCTCCTTCGCTCACTGCGCTTATGGCACACCATGGCAGAAGTACACCGCTCTGTACATCTGGGGAGGACCACCTTGCCCTGGCGAAAACCTACATGTTATGGGTCAACTTCATTTTTAGCATCGAGCCTGCAACTCCAATCCATGACCCTCAAGCATAACAGCAAGCCCCAGCCCAAAGGGTAGAGTATCGACGTCCATTGGCCCCGTAAGCCATTGACCCCTAACCTGTTAACTTCTTCAAGTCTGTGGGCTTGTTCCCTGAAGAACAGCACCTTAACCCAATGACTCCTTGAGTGCTTTCTCAATTACATAACAGCCAGTCCAACCCAGCCCCGAGCCCAAAGCCCAGAGACAGGACTACTACACTCCAGAATTCCAATCCTCTGAGCCTTTGACCCACAGACCTAGCCACAAATACTTTCTCCATAGTACATCAATCAACACAAACCCCAACGTTGAATCTGCAGGCCCCAAGAATGTGCTTGCCATGGGCAAGCGATGCCGGTGTGGGAAACGCTTCAAGCACCAGTCCCTGCAGGGTGTCATCTCAAAGAAGAAGGGGGGCAAGGGTTTCAGGACTGCTTCAGCGTCAGCTTATCCACCGAGATTCTGTGAGGATGCTGCTGGGGTCATTTTGAAGGCTGCTCAGGCGGAAAAGGCGATGGATTTGGAGGGCTGGTCTCCGCTCATGTAGCCTTGGAGTCGACTGTGCGGCCGAGCTATGCACATGCCTCTACTGGCGTGCGTGGGGGAAACTTTGGCTGGGGATGAAAAGGAATGCTCGACGCTTCGAAGATTGAAGTTTGGATTCTGCACCTGCATGAGTTTGCGTCCTGTTGCAGTGCAGCAGCCGAAGCTTCCGTCACCCCCAACAAACTCCTAAATTTGACAAGCTAAACTCCAAGCTTGACCGAGGCCCGAGGCCAGCGCAGAGGGCGAAGGGCAGTGACCTCAGTCAACCTTGTGTGTATTTTGGATCAGTTGACAAGTGTCGCATTGGGATTCTGTAGCTGTGTGACGCTGCTGTGATAGTGTGCAGAGCACGTTTGGTCTCCAGACAGACAGCCCTTCAAGATTTCGGCCCAGAAGCCCGTGGCGGGGCATTTGATTTGGTTGAGAGGATGCTCTGCATTCCTAAACCCTAAACCCCTGGTATCCTCCGTAGTTGTAAATGTCACCAGATTACGGACCCAGGTTCCGTCATGCAATTCTCAGCTGTGTTGGGTTATATTGCGGTTACATAGGGGTTATATCGGGGTTTTAAGATGAAGAGGTTCAGATTACAGCGCGCGCACACCACGTTCTCTGAATATAGCCCTTATAGATTTGGATCCAGCGACCATGGCGGACATGGAGGAGCTGGGGGTGTCAAACCTGGACGGTCCTGCAGGCAGGGCACTTAAGCCAAATCCACAAAAAGCGCAAGATCCCGAGCTGTGAGCATTATTACTATAGCTAAGCACGATTACTACTACTACTACTACTACTACTAGTACTAGTACTAGTCGTACTATTTGACAGCTTATTATGGGGGGTCACTCCGGGGCAGCACTTGCGCTTAGCGCCTCCGCGATTAAGCACAAGTAGGCTGTCTAGAGCACAAGTCTTGCGCTCCAAATGCCTTACTTGCGCTTAGCGCCTCCGCGATTAAGCACAAGTGGTCCTCGGGAGGGTGTACCATATGAACATAAGGTTTTTAGGGTTTAGGCTTTGTGCCAAGCGTTCACCGATCGACCATCCTGGCGGGGCACCCAGGCACAGAGGGCTTGGGGTGATATTATTGAATAAGCTAGGGGATCGCCTGCAGAAGGTGATAGGGTTAGGGACCGCCTGAAGAAGGTGATAGGGGTTGTAGGCTTAGAGGGTTCGCCTGAAGAAGGTGATAGGGTTTGTAGGCTTGGAGGGTTCGCCTGAAGAAGGTGATAGGGTTACAGGGCTTGTAGGTTTAGAGGGTTCGCGGGTGATAGGGGTTTAAGGGGTTCGCCTGCAGAAGGTGATAGGGGTTCAAGGGTTCGCCTGCAGAAGGTGATAGGGTTTTAAGGGTTCGCCTGAAGAAGGTGATAGGGTTTTAAGGGCTCGCCTGAAGAAGGTGATAGGGGTTTGGGGCCTTGGAAGGTGTTGAGGCAAAGTGTGACTTCTGCCCAGCGCTCTGAATGTCAAAGTGATGCAGTTCAAACAAGCTCGTGTATGCAATGTAATATACTAGAATACGCCATACAATAGACTAGAATATATACAATATAGTATACTAGTACGCAATATAATATAATATACTGGAATATACAATAGAAAATGCTATAATATAATGCTCAATATTAAGTCTAATCTAAAGGTTTTCTACGGCTGAGCGGAAGCTACTTGAGGCCCCTGGTGGAGAGTGGAATCTTGCACGGCGAGGACTGCTGGACATGGAATATACTCTTCGGGGTGCGCCCTGCGCGGCGAACATCCATCTCAGAGCTGGAGCGTCAGGAATCTGGGAATCCGACTGTTTCATCATTGCCATGGCCTCAGAAG